CGTCCCTGAGGAAATGGGAGGGTGGGTGGGCCACTCAGTAAGCAGAAATAAGCCGGAATGGTCGTGACCCGACACGCCCATATTCCATGCGCCTCACGGAGGCGCCTGACCTTACGAAATACCTACCACCCGACTCGTTAGCATACGCAAAACAACGATTTTGACTCCGAAACTCCGTCAAAAACTCTATTTTGCTTCTGCTAACTCGTCGGAAAGTTTAAAGCGCGAGGGTACTGATTTATTGGATAAAAACTTGGCCAGTACAAAGTTAGACCATGGAAATGGAAGTAAATAACTGCAACTTGCCTTTATGAGACGGTTTGTTCTGGGGCGTGCGTGGGGATTATGGGGTTCAGCCCTCCTTTGTGGGACAGAAGCAAGATTTGAAACGGCCAATTAAAAGGAAGCCTTTTTCACTAGCCCCCTGCTATGATAGTGTACACCGTATGGATGTGTGATGAGGACAAGGAACTCACACCAGTCACACTTTGCCGAGCAATTGAGATTAAATGTAGAGAACTCTGAGGAACGAGAAGTCTTCGTAGTTTTAGATGGCAACAAACGTTCCAAACTTTCCTACACGAGGATACAGTAGCGTAAAAGGATTACCATCCTTACTCTTCAATAAACATAGAACGACCGATGGTCCACATATACTTGTCATGCGTTATCTCTCTTAATTGCTCTCCTTAAATTCAACTTGTTTCATAAACTTCTGCACGCTTGCCGACCATCCTTCTCAACTTGACTCTGTAATGTCAAGCGACATTTCCTCACAACAGCATGACCTCATCAGGTCTCTCTGACACATCTGTCAGGTACAGTCTGTCTTCACAAGCGAGAACTCGCATGTCATGGTACTAGCTCGAACTTCTTAGCACTCTGGGGGCATAGCCACATCAAATCCTTGCAATCCCCATATTGCTAGGCGCAGTCTAAACAAATTACTAACGATGGAAAAACCTTGGAGGGCAGTTGGAGAAATTGAGCCCTAGCATTTTCTGGAATGCGGCTTAACCAAATTGTAGTGATATCTCGAACACAAAGCGAGCCAAGTCATGAAGCCATGACGCGTGAGGTCTGTAACCTTCAAATGAACTTTTCCAAGCAACTTGTTCATACCTGACAAGTCTGGAATAAGACGAAGCTCCTCGCCTTGATTGCTGAGGTTTATCCGAATGTTGGGCTTGTTCAATACATAAATATAAATAGGTTCGCATGTCAGAGTAGACTAGAACGGACTATTTTTTTTTGGAAGGCAACCCGCGTCCAGCATTTTCCTAACCATGAGCAGATACTGAGGAAAAAAAACGTAATCATCAGTAAGACCTGGGAAAACCATCCCGTCACATGAAATTATTCGACGGTCGCAGATCTTATACATCAGTTATGTTGAGCACCTCGCCCTTTCTTTTGCTTCAGTAACGGCATGGAAAGTTTTGAGCAATACTCAAAGCGAAGCGAGGAATGTTAACGTAACCTGATTTCGAAACTACTCCTTTATGTATTTTCGAGAATGTGAAGGAGATTTTGAATTTGTACCTTGGCTCTTAATTCTGTTGTCCTCACTCAGTACATAATCAACTTTACTAAACTCTCCTTGTCAAGCCGCCCTGTTATTACAACACACACAGATAATTAACGATAGATACAAATAAACGCTGTTGGGTCAATTTTTCTGCGTGGCAGAACTGTTGATAGTCGACTAGATAACTTCGCAATTCATGAACTTCTGGTCTTATAAAGTCATTTCTTCGCGAATACAAACAGTCTCATGAGATAGTGATACTTATTGTTGAAAGAGAAATAAGCCGGAATGTCGTGACCTCGACACGACCAATATTCCTGACCTTAGGAAATACCTAATCACGTCGACTGTTTAGCATACGCAAAACAATCGTAGAAAGTCAGCTCGGCCCGACGCCTCGTCCACCTACCGTCTCCGTGAGCCTAGCGAGCCTTGTCGAAATCGCTATAACTTTCTTATCGCGCGCTATTGAGGGATGAAAGAGGTATCATCTTCATCAAGGCGTAGAGGGTTCCAAAAGGCACGAAGTCATTTTGAAGACCACTTGATCGCGGGGAGTGTCTTTAATTCAGTTATTCGCTCATAGCCTTATTGCTCTTTTGCATAGGATCCGACATGGCTTAGGATAAGGCGGGGGAGGGCGATGTCACTATTTAAAGAGGACAGCGTTGAGAAAAATTACCGACATCAATTGACGAAGAATGATCATGTCTGGTTGACGACAGCACTGGAGATATCGAGTTGAGGAGGTTATTATCTGCTGTACATGTGCAGTAATCTGCCGTCGTAAAAAAAGAAGTGACAATAAACTGAGAACTGTTTTTTTACCAGTAGCTCCTCACTAATCTTCTATACAAAACAAACGTACGTAGTAAGTTATGAAGGCAGGCATTCAAATGGTATGAGTAGAGTAGTCCATCGTAGCTCGAAGGTGCTTCAGGGATATTTTGTCACAAAACTTCACCGCTTTTCCTGGAAGGCTTTGGCAGAGCAAACCTGTCGTACCTCGTTCGATAGGCCTCGTTCTTTCAGCCGGAGCACACAATATACCACAAGTTTGACGGATGCTATTCCGTCGGTCACAAATCAGTAAAGGCAAAAGAGAGTTCAGTAAAGTCATTCCCTGCGACCTATGAGCTGCTGTGAATCCTGATGAAGCGCGAGCAATCCGAAATTAGGTCAGTATTATATCCAAGCAACTAGGAACGTCTTCCGCTATACTTCCAAAGCACTGCTCTATCAGAGAGTGCTGAGTCATAGGCGAAAGCAGACGGGACTCGTCCTGCTCGCCGGGCGCTTGCCTTATCCATTAAGCTACCGGAGTTGCTCTTACACTCTCAGCTCAATGGCTTCAGGTGTCAAAGCCTTACAGAACGTGTTCGACGTGATGAGCAGCTAGCTGATATTGGCACTGAAGTGCGAGGCTGAAGGCTTTTACAAATTCGGAAAGAAAGCGCACTCCCCTTTATTTGAAGCCACTGTTTTACACTAGAAGCCACTGTTTTGACAGGAGCCTTGTATAGGAAATTATCTCCGGTAGTTCTTTCTTGTGGTTTATTTTTGGATTACTTAGGCAAGCTGTAAGCTTTGCTGGATGCCATTGCATAGCTTCCTAGGGTTCATGGGTTTCTATACCGATTTAAACTAGTAGTGTACCCTCCCCCCACTATAAGCCGTTTTTGCCTTTTTGTGTAGCCGCTTTTATCACATTCACTGATGTTTGTAATGTATTCCAGTCTTTGCAATTCCTCGTTCGTGACTGGTCTTTCCCATATGAAGCGGAGTTCGGTTATCAAGGAGGACAACGTATTCTCGACGATCGGTTGCAGGTACGTATCATACTTTATAAAGCCATGTTTTTATGTTAACTACAACCACTGAGATCTAGGTCTCAGCGAAACAGCATCCTGAGCTGCAGCAACTGCGAAAACATATTCGTAGTTGCTTTGATAGCATTACATGTTTCCTAATGCCATATCCTGGCATTAAGGTAGCTACAAATCCAGACTTCAACGGTTCTTTAGCAGGTTAGTTTTTTTTTTCTATGATTTTTTTTGAAAGATTTCATTGTCTTCATTGAAGATATCGAGCCTGAGTTCCAACAACAGCTACGCGTGATGATTCC